GAGACCTAACGCTGGGGGCTTTGGAGAAGGCCCCCCTCAGACCCAGAGCTCCGTGCCCACTTGGGGAGGCCAGGGGCATCTATGCGGCCTGTGGGATGCTGCCACGCGCCTTGGGGCAGCGCCGGCAGCCGGCCCGAGGCGCCCTGGCTCTGGCGATGGGAGGAGTGGGTGGTTTGGAGGAGGCTGTGTCAGGATATTTTTTGCTTTGGCTATTTGACCTTAGAGAGGGAGAGAGGAGAAGGGGAGAGAGAGGGGAGTAGAGAAGAGGGTGAAAACGGGAGTTTCATGTGGTCTAAGGGACAGGGAGAGGGGAGGAGGACGGGGGGGCGTGGTAGAGAACGGGTGTTGTTTTTTGCTAGGAAGCAAACAGGTGACATCCTGAAAGAGGGAGTTCCCGAGTCCCTCTGTGCATCCGTGTGTCCGTTTCTTGAAGCATTTGGGAGCTGGGAGAGTGTGTTTCTAGTCACCAGGGGGTTTGAACACGGTGGGCTGTTCTCCTGGCAATGGGGGTGTGGCCGTGGGGAGGCAGTGGGAGCTGGACGCTCCCGGTACGGGGCCCTCACGGGCTGCCGGGGCCTGCTGACGACTGAGGGGACACGCGAGTTGTGAATGCGCGCGTCTGTTCAAGGCCAAGAGGCTCGCAAAGCAGGCCTAAACTCCGAAGAACGTTTCTAACTACCCGCCCTGAAAGGTCGCTAACTGGACAACCTCCTCGTAAACGGCTCCCCGTCCCCACCCTCACTGCCCCGGAGAGGGCTGAATTCAGAGCCCGCGTCAGGAGAAGGTCTTTGGTGGCAGTGCCCCAGGTGAGGGGGGCACCTCGAGGGCAGGCTCGGGGACCGGGGATGGGGCAGGGAGGTGCAGGGGAGACACCAGAGTGCAATGAGCTGCTGGGCAGGCTGGGGGAGGCTGGGCGGTGGCCCGGGCAGGGAGTGGGGCATGGGACTGGGGACGTGGGCACCATCCTAATCGCTCGACACGTGGTTCTCGTTCTGTAGCTGGTGCCAGCGCTCGATCTTCTTGTCCTTGTTTTTCAGACACTCGTACCAGTGTTTTAAGCGCTCTCCTTTGGCCGAGATCCCCAGCTGGCAGCCTCCTGGATGATAAGAGAAGGTGGGGACCGGTGGTCAGAGCCGAGGGACGTGCGGGGCTCTCATTCTGGGCCCAAAGGTCTAGCTGGGGGAAAACGGCCACCAAGCAGTGACGCCCTCCCGTGCCTTGGGATCCGTTCTCTGTCGAGGGTGGTTATCACGTTGTTATTACTACTGGCCTCTGCCCACTCAAGAGCCCGCAGCGGATCCTACTGCAGCGCCAAGTCACAACCTCACTGTCTGTTTTTTAAGGCTTCCTCCAAATCCCCACCCACCCATGGAAACTCATCTCCCACTGCTTTTGGGAACTCAGCGTCTACTTCCAGAGTTACTTACGTCGCCCTGCTCAATCCTGTCCCCACGCCTTTGCTCCAGCCGTGTCCCTGGCCTGGAGTTCCCTCCCTGCTCTGTCTTTAATCACTGTTCTTCCTCAGTATTTGGAGGGGGACTAGAAAAACTGGAACTTTCATCCTTGACTTGCAAACAGGGTAAGGAGACTTCCTTTGCACAGACCCACCCTCCTGGGATTTAACTCTTCCGCTCGAGGCGATTTGTTCAGCAAATAACCGGTCATGACCCAATCTCCCCAACTTGTGAAGCCCTTTCGTCATCTAAAGGCATTCCCAAATGGGATCCAAATCAGAACCGTGGGTCCTGACTTTGCGTCTGGATGACGTCATGCCAAAAGAGAAGACGGGTCACCCTCCCTCAGCCTGCTGCCCTAGGTGAGGCTCCCCTCCCCGACGAGGACGGACAGGGGCGTTTGCTCTGGGAGCGGGGCGCACTCACCGATGTAATCGTTGGACTTGCCGATGTCGTAGTCCCAGACTGAGATGTCCAGTGACTTCTTCGCCAGGTCACTGTGTTTGATGTCATAGAAGAACTCCTGGATGCAAGAGAGGAGGACTTGTGAGTGAGAGGGTCCCCAGAGCCTTTGGCACTGGGAGCTAAGTAAGAGGATAAGTCCTAGGGCTTCACGGGCCAAGGGGACACCCTTAAATGGCACAGGGAGCAAGGGGGCCTTCCTGCTCTCGACCTCTTCCCCAGGCCCAACAATTCCCTTTTAACGGATATTCTGTATAACAAAGTCCCGCAAGCCCTATAATTCTCTTTTCAATGACTTGCTGTTTGCAAATGGGAAGACTGGTGTGTTTTGGTTTGTTTGTTTTTTAAGAGAGCTGGTTCTGGTCAAGTTTCCTTGACGGCAGATAGCCATGAACTCAGTCCTTCCATTCTGGTAACTTCTAAAGTAGGTTTTCCCGTCTCCATCATTTAGAGGTTAAAGGTAGCTGAGGAGACTGGTACCGACATGAGGGGTAGGTGTTTCCATTTCTAGACGATCCGATTTTTAAAATAAATTTTCTGCTTAATTATAAAATTCATCCATGATCATTGTTAACCAAGGAAGCGAACCTGTAGTCTAACTACCCAAGAATACCCACTGTCAACATTTCTAGGCGTGACCACACTGATGAATGTTTTAAAAAATATGAATATTAATTTGGATTTATGAAACCTTGGAGCATTATACTACGTGCAGTATAATGTGAATATACTGTACTGTAGCTTTCTTTTTCCGTTTTATAGCACATAATAGAAAAGTATTTTAGCATGCCAGCAAATATTTTTCTGCATCAGCATTTCAACAGCTTCCATTAACGGCTGTGTGGCTGCACCATAACCTAACGCCTGACACCTGAGCATTTAGTTTGTTTGCAATTTTTCACGATCATTAATGATATGCTAACAGGCAACCTGGCAGCTCAACCGTGATTCATTTAGGATAAGTTTTGAGAATTGTTTTTTGGAGTTTGTAAAATTTTAAGATAGAGCGGCACATACATGCTGTGATGCCATTTGTGTATAATAAGAAAGCTGGCCACGCATGCGCACATGCATGCACACGCGCGCGCGCACACACACACACACACACACACACACATCTTGGAGGCTGGGAAAGGAGGGAAATTTTGACTGGATATCCTCTGGGACTCTTGGAATTTTCAAATATGTGACTGTATTACCCATTCCCCAAATAAATGGAATTAAAACATTTTTAAGTTTAAGGCTTTTGAAGTGTTCGAGAAAATTCCCTGCAGAAGTGGAATTGGCTGGCTTCCTCTCGCGGCGTCTGCCCTTCCTGTGTGCTCTCCCACGCTGGCACCCACAGTCCACAGCATCCGCGTGCCGGCTCATTACGAGACGTGGTGTCTGGTCTTGATTCACGTTTTGCCTGCTCTAGCCCAGCCGAATGTTGCTAATGAGTTTATCGGCTATTTGGATTTCTTACTCTGTGACTTGTTCAGACTCCAGGAGACAGGACAGCAGTACAATTACTCCCAATTCATGAGTCAGAATTGGGAAATCAGGGGTCCAGCTGACAAGGGGAACTGAGAACTTGAGGGTCTGAACTAACTGGCCAGTGATTGCTCTAGGCTCTGTTTATCTAGAACGGTCCCCATGTATGTGCATATGGGTATGTGTTTTAAAAAAGAAACGAAATAATACAAAACACACTGTATTGTAGCTTCCCTTTCCTACTTTGCAACATTTGGTAAAAACCAACACTGGCTGACTCTGACCCAGCATCAGATCATTATATGCAGCAGATATTTCTGGACCCCTGCTGTCTGACAGGCTTGTCAACAGATAATTGAAACCCAGATGGACAGCGTGCGGTGGAGGGAGCATAGAGGAAGCATATGCGGGGGTTAACACACTGAGTCTCAAGAGATGACTAGGACTTTGCCAGAGAAAAAAGGAGGGAGAGGGAGAGGAAGAGGGAGCAGCAGGCTGACAGGTGTGCCGGGATCTGCACGGACTTCAGTGTGACTTGCGGCGCCGGGTGGGTGGATGAGGGAGAGGGGCAGGGGTGAGATATGAGTTTGAAAAGACTCGATTGTCATGCTAAGAAGATAGAGAGTCATTGATGGGTTATTTAAGCAAGGGGGTGACAAATTCAGATTCCAGTTTTGGAAAGCTCATGCTTCATCTTGGAGGATGGGCCAAGTCCAGGGAGACGATTTAAGATTCTACTGCTATGGTCCAGGCAGGACGTGCCAGGGTCTGAGCCAAGGCAGTACCAGCGAGAACAGAGACGAAGGGGCACATTCAATGGGCATCTAGACAGTGGCTTAGCGAGACCCGAGGCACTGGATGGATGTGGGAGGGAGGGAGACGGGGAGGGCAGCGCCAACGGGGTGGACGGTAAAGGGCGTCGCCGTCTCCATTTTCTTGAATTTCAGTATTCCTGACTACTAGAACTGATGATGATCCTGGAGATGATGTAAATCAATCTCTCTTCAAACTCAGCTTCTTTCCTATGACATTCCTAATGTACAGGTTTTTGTCTTAAGCTTGATTCCCTCCAGTGACAAGGAACTCATTACCTCTCCTTTAGACGACTCCAACTGACCTACGAGAGAAAGCTTTTTTTGGTGTGCTTGACAGCATTCTACTAGAGAGTCCGTTCGTCTCTCTTACACAGGAAATATTCCAAAGCATGACCAAATGGGGCAGCCTTACCTCATTAAATTCGGGGTTCAAGGTTTTCTTCTTAATTTGAGTCTTGTGTTTGGCCTTCTTTCCCATGTCTGGTTTCAGCCAGCTGAGAGGAGACAGGAGAGGCTATTACGAATGGAGTTTGAGGAAAAAGAACAGCCCCTTGACAACCCCGAAGGCTCCTTCCAGTGTCAAGAGAATAACTGATGAACGAATCAGAAAGCGAATCCACGTTCACGGTGACCAGTGTGCATTAGAGGGTCTACTTGATGCCAGGCACGGCACTGAGCACATTAGCTGTACTAAATCCTCCACAAACCCTAAGTGGCAGAACTAAACCACCCATTTTACATACAGGGAAACTGAGGGTCCACAAAGTTGAGACATGTACCTTAAGGTCACACAGCAGGGACTGAACTCAGCTGTCACCTCTGCAGTCTGTGCTTTTAGCCGGTCCTTTTTCCCAGTGGAGCGAACTGAGAGGCCTGAATGGCAGTGCCTGGCATTTTACCATCCATCACCCCTAGGTCAACCCCCAGCGCCTGGAGAGATGCCGTGGGTGTGGACAAAAGGGATAAACTGCAAATCTAATTACTGTCACTCCTTTGCCCAAAACTAGGGATAAAGTTCCAAATCCTTGATGTAGCCTGCGGAGCCTGAGGGGTTGGGTCCCTGCTCTGGCCCGGCCGAATCGCATGCCCTGCTTGTCACCCCACTTCCCATGTGCTTTCCTTCCTACCCCAGGGCCTTTGCGCATACTGTTTCCTCCGTCTAGAAGGCTCCCCCCTGGTGTAGGCACAATGGCCGGCACACAGTAAGTGCTCAATCAATATTTTCTGGGCAAATAAATAAAACGGGCTAACAACTCCTAAGAGTCGTGGCCTTTGGGTTCTGATTCGAGCTGTCACTAGCCATGCAGCTCTGAACCTGAGTGTTACTTCTGCGGGCCTCAGCTTCCTAATCATTAGGAAGAGAGGGCGAACATTTCTTTCTCATTCAAAAAACTGTTTTTGAGGATAATTTTCCAGAAGAGACTCAAATGGGGGAATGAAAAGGTGCCAAGTGATGAGCGAAAAAAAAAAAGGGGGTACAATTCTGACTTCAGGCTTCAGAAATCTTTATTTGATCTTAAGCTGGTTCATGGCCTCCTGTTTCCTGTTCCTCACTGGCCACCAGGACAGCTGTTTCGCTGGTAACCACAGCAACCCTACTTCTTCTAGAGGGATTGGGTGGATGAGAGAAGGGATGGTGGGGAGAATTATTGAAGAGAATCAATTTGCATGTGGCTGGGATTTAATGGAGCACAGGATAGCAGCCCATGAATCCATTTTTCTATTGGACCATATGAACAAATCAAACCAAACTCCTCCTAGAAATTAAATTCATCTCTGACATGTGTGTTCTTTTGTTAACTAAATCCTCATTCAAAGGAAATGTGAAGTAAAGCCTGCACTGGCCTGATTTTTAGCCAAGGGCTTAAGGGAAGTATTCTTTTCTGTTACCAGAGGCAGTGGGTTTCGGGGGAGGGTCTTCCAGGCTGGAGAGAACATTAATAAATACCCCCTGCCACAAGTAAGAATAGTGATGGTAGTTCTCTATAACCATAATGACGGGCTTTTATTGAGCACTTACTGTATATCAGCCCCCACAAAAGTGCACCTCTCAGATCTCCATCTGCAGGGGCGTGAAACTGACCAGCAAGCTGCTGGGCTGGGATCCACTACTCTGTTCTCACGTGGCCTTGTTTGCCACGGCTGCTCTCAGCCAGTACCTGAGCCAGCAGGGACCCTAGGCAGCCCCGTTTCTCGGAGATGCTGGGTTCCTTTGATGGGTGATTTTGCACTCAAGGGCTCCCCATCGTCCTGGGTGAAACTTCCTCGGAACTGCACTGCTGTCTAAGGCTCTTCCTGCCCCCTTCCCCTCTCTTGCACAGGGAGCAGGTCTGTTCTAAGGCCTGTTGTCGCTATATTCCTCCAGCTCCCTCTCAATTTTCATAGGCATTTCCCCCAACAAATCTCTTGCACATTTCATCCTGTCTTGGTTCCTGCTTCTTGGGAGACGAGGCCCAATGCACACTACTATCATCCCACTTTATATATAGTTGAGGACATAGAGGCCCAGAGATGTTAAGGCACAGTCCCAAGGTCACACACCCAGAGAATACCGAAGACTATTGGATCTGGGATTTGACCTGGGCAGTGCGGATCCAGAGCCCAGGCTCTCGACAATATCCATGGAAACACACGCTTTGTTGCCACAAGGCAAGGCAGAATTCTAGTGAAAGTAGCTAAACATTTCTGTACCAGGCAAAATTCTAATTGCTCTACATATGTTATCTCATTTGGCTTTCTGCCTGCTCTTGGAGATAAGTGGAAATATTGTCTTCACCATACCAGTGAAGGCTCACTGGTAAATAAGAGAGGGTAAATAACTCGCTTGCAGTCACACAGATAGCCGCTGGCAGAGATGGGAGCTGAATGAGAATGTGCCCGGTGGACCTCCAACCACAGGATGCACATGTAACCCAGGCCCCCGCTGCTGTGCTTGGAAATCCAGGCCATGCTTGTGCCAAGGTCACGCTCCCAGCTGACAACTGTATGTGGTGGGGACACTATGGCTGATTTTGGCCTAAGGACTCCCCATCAGCCTTGCTGAGCTGGTGTCTAGGACGCTTCCACTCACCTTTCCTCCCCCTCTCCTCCCCGCTCGGGGTCAGACTTGCGGGGTGGACAGCTCTGCATTTCCCCAACTGCCCCTACCTTCACACAGGCATTTCCCCTAATGAAATCCTCATCCCATCACGGCATCTTCTCAGAGGGTCCCGACTAGCACCGATGATAAAGGCTCCCTTATACTCCATGAGATTCCTGGAATAACCCCCAAAGTCTAAGGTCTTATCTCTGAGCATTTCCAGACTGAACCTGAAAAAAGCCAGGTGGCTTCTCTGGTGGTGGGGCTCTGAATGGCTGGAGGGGTATGTCGCTGATTCTAGGGGGCTTCAAATGGGTGTGACCTTGCCGACTACACCTCTCCCACACGAGGGGACAGAGCCACAAAAATTCTCATATGAGCGAATGACATACCAATCTAACTGCCTGCGACTCCAGCCTCACATTCCAGCCAGTCCTGGTCATCTGTCTCACTGTGTGAACCTTGGGCAGGTTCGTTTCCCTTTCTGGGCCTCAGTGTACCATGACCTTGGGGAATCTCTGTGGGCCCCCCTCTGTAAGGATCTAGGATCCCCTCTGGAGCCCATTCATAGTCCCAAGTCACTGACTCACAGCTTGACGAATGGATCTGAGTAGCCATTGGCGTCCATGGCGGCCAGGTGCACGCAGCGTATGATGCCCACGATGAGACCGCCCTGCTGTGTGCTGTACATGAGAGACACCAGGATCTTGCCTCGTTCCTCTATGTCACCAATACGCTCCACCTGCTGCAGTAAAAGAAGAGGCCATGTGGGCCCAGGAAGGGAGGGGGCCAGGCAGTGTGGATGGGATCATCAGGGAAGAGCCTGTGAAAAGCAAGAGGAGCTCGGCCAGCGTGTGTGCAATCAGCACCATGGACAGCAGACGCCCCAGCCTCCGGGGAGGGGTAAACCGTAACAGCCCAGTGCAAGGCACACGGGGCCAGTGGTTTTACTCTCAAGACACAGACTGAGCCCTGACTCTGGTCATAGGTTGAGCTTGACCCTGGTCATTAATTGACCCGACTCTGACCCAGGACTGAGCCTTGACCGCCCAGCCTTGGCCAGACACACAGCTCGAAGAGCCTCGCTCGCATTCCCGTGGAGGGGGAGCGCCACTGTCCTAGGACTGCGGAGCCACTGCCAGAGCTTCTGCCAACAAAGCCGAGGAACTCCAGGGTGTTCGGGTTGTGACAGAATGGGGCTTCTCCCACCTCGGGCTCTAGGCGTGAAGAGCATCCACCTGGTCTGCTGTCCTAACACCCTGGGCAAGAGCACCTCTCAAGTGAACCAACAGGCAGGTGGTTTGGGGAGAAAGAGTAGGGATGGGGATGGGCGTGGGGGAAAAAGGGCGATTCCAGACCCCGACTGCAGCTGCCAAACCCACTCAGTGCTCACCTCCTCCTCATACAGGGCCATGCCTCGGGCAGAGCCGGTGGTCCCCGCACGCTTCATCTGCGGGGGAAACGGAGAGAGAACATTGTCTTTGCAGCTCGTCTCCCTGCACAGGAAGCACAAGAAGCCCCCCACCCCTCTATCAGCATCTAGAGGCCCAGAGACAGGCTCCCCAAGCTTCTGTGGCCCTCCGGCTTTCCCCGCTTCAGTTAAAATTTGTATAACGCTGACCATTTGACAGATTATGTTAATGCACACAGCCTACGATATAGGGTGTATTACTGTCCCCATTTTACAGACGGAGACTCTGAGGTCAGAGTTGTCAAGCCACTTGTCCAAGGTCACACAGCCAATAAGCAGCAGAGCACCCCACATAAAGCAGGTAGGATTTGCTCTTCCCTGGTTGAAGGGCCAAAGAGGTCTCGGGGTCTGGCCACCAGGTACTTCCTCCCTTGTGGCTCCTAAGTTCCTTTTGTGGGATTCTAAGGCTCTGGGCGTACAAATGTAAAACTGATGGTTAAATACAATCTCTCTACTTTAGAGAAGAGGACAGCTGGGGTCAACAGGGGAGGAGACCATGCTTATGCGGTCCCCGTCCTTGGTGAGGCACATGGGGGTGGGGGGTGGTGGTGGGAGGGCTAAGGGCAAAGAGCGAAAGATGATGATCAGCAGAGTTCTGTGGCCCCTGCAGGCCTCTGCTGTCCTGCCAGCTCCGTGCCTCTGGGGCTGGCTGCGTCCATCACAGAAAGATGGGCAGGCCCAGGAGCTGATGACCCAGGCGGAGGCCTGGCCACTGTCCCGACCAACTGGGCTCACTGAGTGAGGAAAGGAAGAGGAAGCCTAAGGAAACAGCTGTTACCAGGGAAAAACCTAGAGGAAACGTTCCACTCCCCGGGCTGCCTGCAGCGGTTTATCTGGAGCCTGGCATCCGGGGCGAATTCTTCTTTGCAGTTTTCCTTGTGTCTTATTCTTTTGCCTGTGCTATACAAACATGGTGTGGCACACGGATCCTCCCTCCTCGGGCTGGCCATCTGGTGGGAGGATGCTGCAGGATTCCCTCTCCCGCCTGCCATGGCTTCCCCGTGGGGAGATGGCCCACTGCCCAAAGGGAGCAGGCGTGCCGGTGGTTGCAGGAGAGCTGGGCTCTGGCCGGCACCCGGGAGCACAGCCACTGACTCGCGGTGTGACCTTGGCAACTTGCTTCCCTCTCTGGGCCCGAGTAGTCCGTATACAAAAAAAGGAGCAGGTTGAGATGTTTCTAAATATACAGATTGCTGGGTCCTAGCTTACCTCACTAAGTCAGAATCTCCAGGGAGGTACCCAAAATCTTAGTTTGTAAAGCTCTGGTTTTGAAACCTCCAGTTGATTCTGAGGTGTAGCCCAACTGGAGAACCTCGATTTGGCTCTTGCTCTTTCTCAAGGGGCAAGTATCACACCTAACAGTAACTGTTCTAATGCTTTATAAGTACTCTCACATGAATCCTTAAAAGACCCTATGAGACTGGTACTCTATTGTCCCATTTTACAGATGGGAAAACAAGGCCCAGAGAGATTAATTATTTGGCCCAGGTTATATAAGTGGCACAGCTAGGATTCAAACCAGGGACTCTGGCTCCAGAGCTGGTATTCTTAAACACGGTGCTACCCTGCTCACCTATGTAGTGCTTTATACCTTCATGACTGACAGGTGAGTAAGGCGATATTATTCCTATCAAAGCAATAGTTAAGAATTTATGAATGCTTATTATATCCTTGGTTCTGTTTTGATTATGTCTCTCACAAACCACGCCATGAGGCAGGTACTGTTATAATGCCCATTTACAGACAAGAAAAACTGAGGCTCAGAATAGCTCAGACCCTTGGCCAAGGCCAGGGAGCAGGTGAATGGCAGGACTGGGCTTTGAACCCAGGCGGGCCACACTGCCACACCACACTGCCTCTCCCAGTTCTACCAAAGTGGACGCTGTCATTCAGAGAAGTGATGCCAACGCAGGGCTGGTAAAAGGCACAGCCAGGGTGTGACCCCGATGCTCTGACCCAAAATGTTCACCCTCCTCTCAACAGCTGCCCCAGCCCCTCTATTGTCCAGCACCCTGCAGATCTGTTGCCCCCTTTGCAGGCCCAGAGGAAGGCAGCATCCCCAAACTTTTCTCCCCCATCAAACCCTCGGGACAAGGCACTCACCGGGATCACCCGCTCTAGACAGATATTGAAGTTCTTCCTCTGGTTCGGCTTCAGTTTCTTGAGTGAGAATCTGGTCTCACCGATAAACTCGTTATGGCCAAATTTGTCCTCATCACAGACAGAGATCCTGTGACCCACAGAAGAGGAGGAGAGAGAAGAAAGCACATATATGAGCTCCTACTATGTGCCCAGAGTTGCCTGCGATGGATGCTGGCAAGCAATGTGCCTAAGAACATTTCAATTCCCTATTTATTGAGCACTGGGCCAGGTGCCTTTTTTTCTTCTTTATGGCAATATAACTTACAAGCAGTATGTGCATCAATCTTTAATGGCTTGTTGAATTTTTTCACATGCACACACCATGTAAACACCACCCAGATCCACATATAGAATATTCCAGCTTCCAGAACACCTTTGGGATCCCTTCTAGTCACTACTTCCTTCAAAGACAAGTGCTGTCTTTGACTTCCAGCCCCACAGATTCGTCGTCTCGTTTTGGACCTTCATGTACATGGAGTCGGACGGCTTCTTTTGCTCAACATTATATCTGCGAGATTCATCTGTAGTGTATGGTAACTTGTCCTTTTGACTGCTGTATAACATTCCTCTGTGAAAATATGCCGTAATAAGTCTGCTGCTGATGGGCACTTGGTTTCGAGCTAGTATGAATAAAGCTGCAATGGAACATCCACGTTGATCTCTCTTCGTATGCACATGTATATACAGGTGACCCTTGAACAGCATGGGTTAGGGACGCCGGCCCACCTCAGAGATGAAAATCCACGGATAACTTTTGACTCCCCAAAGCATTCACAGCCTGCTGTTGACTGGAAGCCTTACGGCTGACGTAAACAGTCGATGAACACGTTTGGTATGTTTTATGTATTATATAAAGTAAGCTAGAGAAAATGAAAATCCACGGATAACTTTTGACTCCCCAAAGCATTGACAGCCTGCTGTTTGTTGACTGGAAGCCTTACTGCTGACGTAAACAGTCGATTAACACGTTTGGTATGTTTTATGTATTATATAAAGTAAGCTAGAGAAAAGAATGCTATTAAGAAAATTATGAGAAAGAGAAAATATATTTACAGTATTTATTGAAAACAATCCACATAGAAGTGGATCCGCAGTGTTCAAACCCGGGTTGTTCAGGGGTCAGGTGTATTTCTGCTGGATGTCTTCCTAGGAGGGGAATTGTTGAGTCGTGGGCTTCGCGTAAGTTTAGCTTCAGTGAAAACTTCTGAACATGGAGTATTTCCACCGAGCACCCTCTCCAACGTCTTTAACTTGAGCCTTTCCGAATGGGCCACAGTCTCTCGCTGTCCTTTTAATTTATACTTCCTTGATCGTTAACGAAGTTGAGCCCCCTTTTCATATGCTTCACGGCCCTCTGACTTCTCATTTAATTTTTTCTCCCATCGAACATCCACGTTTCCCACTTTCGAGAGGAGACTGGGGCCCAGAGAGGTTGAATCATTTGTCCCTACTAAGTGACAGAATGGGGATCTGAGTTCAGCTCTCTCTGAACCTTAAGACACTATATTGTCTTCTGTTATCTACTCTGTAAACAGAGGCACAGAAAGGGTGGAGTGACAGAACGGGGATCTGAGTTCAGCTCTCTCTCTGAGTTCAGCTCTCTCATTACCTTAAGTTATCTACTCTGCAAAGCACTGATTTGAACAGAGGCACAGAAAGGGTGGGTGAGTCAAGAGAAAGATTCCTCAGGAAGCCAAAAGGACCAGTCAAGGTAACTGATAATTCCTCCTGACATGTACTAAGGCGCAGAAAGGACTTGTCCCCTTGGGAGGCAGTATGGAGGACGGGCAGGGACTAATGGCACCTCGTTCCTTGGCCATCAGCATTTGTTGAACAATGTTCGAAGTTCTGAAGGGCCAGAACAGCCTCTGGGCTGAGCCCCACTGTACGTGAGCTGGTGGGGTACAATCAACACCGCCCGTCTGCAAGGCAAGGTGTGGCCAAAGACTTAAGAATAATCACCATTTCTGACCCAGTGATGCCACTTCTAGGAATTTATGTCAGATATAAGAAGTGCCAGAAATATTTAACTACGAAGGTGTTTATCACAGGATTGTTTATAACTGTGGAAAAGCAGAAATAATAAACATGTTTTATAACGGGGACTACTTAAGAAAATTATAGAAGAAACATAAAAATGTAACAGTATACGTGGAAAGTAATGTTGGAATTAGTCATCGGGGAAATGCAAAACCACAATGCGACACCACCACATAACACCAGAAAGGCCAAAACGAAAAAGTGATGATAAGAATGTGGAGGGACCGGAACTCTCATATATTGTTGGTAGGAGTGTAAATTAGTACAATCTCTACGGAAAACTGGAAGTTTTTATTAAGGCTGAACATATACACCCACTACGACTCAGCCCTTATAGCCCTAGGTACATATGCAAGAGAAATGCATGCACCTGTGCACCAAGAAACAGCTACTAAAATGTTCCTAGCAGCCCTAATAGCCCCCAACTGAAAACCAATCAAATGCCCCTTAATAGCAAAATGGATAAACAAAATTGTGATATATTCACACAATGGAATACTAAATAGCGATGAAGATGAAAGACCTATAACTACACGCAACAACGTGGAGGAATATTACAAAGATAATATTAAGTGAAAGAAGACAGACACAAAAGAGTCATGTTACGTGATTTCATTTCATTTCCATAACATACAGAACCAGACTCAATTAATTTGTCCTGTTAGAAGTCAGGATAGTGAATTCCCTGGTTGGCGGGGGTGGTGGGGTGGGGTTGCTTACTGGAGGGAGAGCAATAGGGGATCTTCTGCGGTACGGGACTGTTTTGTTCTCTGATCCCAGTGCATTCACTTTTGGAAAATTCATCAATCTGCACACTTTTTTTTTGTGAGTGTGCACTTTTTTAAACGGATGCTACATTGCAATAAAAACCTTTACTTAAAGTAATATTGTAGCTGGTGGGAATATGGTTGGAACAGCCGATTTGGAAAGCAGTTTGTATAACTTGTAAAATCACGTTCCAGCAAATATCCCTCCTTGGTTTCTATCCTCAGGAGACACACACATGAACACGAGGAAGCAAGAAGGATGCTCATTGCAACTTCGTAACAGGGAAAAGCTGGCAACAAGCTAAATATCCATCCACAGGGAACCGGCTGGAGAAGCTGATAAACATTTATGGAAATTTTTAAAACATGCCAAACAATACCACATATTGTTACTGATATGTAATTATATAGCTGCAGTACAAGGCATGCTGGGGAGTGGTACCCGTAAAATTCGGGTGGTGTTTAGCCTTGGGGAGGGAAGGATAAGAAAAAGATGGGGGACGGAGTATACAAGAGGAGCTTCAACTTGCATCTGTAGTGCTTTATTTCTTAAGGAAAGAAAAAAGAGCGGAAGCACATATAGCCAAATATTAAGATTTTTTAAAAGACTGAGTACTGGGTTCATGAATTTTTAAAATTACATTCTATACTTTTCTATAGATTTATAATATTTAATAATGAAACATTTTTAAAACTCTGTGATCAATCCATTCTGTGGAATACTCTGAAGCAGTTAAAAATGAGGTAGATCGAAAAGTCTTCTCATGGCTATGACTCCAAGATATGCTGTTAAGAAAAAAGGCAAGTCCCAGATATATACAGCATGATACTCTCCGTGTCTGAATACACACACACACACACACACTCAGGGAAGGGAGCAGCAGACCCAGGCTGCGGGAGGGGGCTACCACTCAAAAGGGGCTTTGCCTTCTCCATCATTTTTTACAAGAAGAACATTATTCATGTGTTACTTAGGTAATTAAAAATGCAATTCAAGACAACATTGCAGAAGACTATAAAATGGCACCAACGTATCGTTAAGTGAGACAGGCTAATTAATAAGATGGTCCATTTTTACAGATACTCAATTGTACATGAAATTTGCACGCACGCATGCACACACGCACACGAAATCCGGATGTCCAGACACCAAGATGTTCATCTGTATTTTCAGAAATTTCCACCAGAAAAATATATTGTTTTTGTAGATGTAAAAAAGAAAACACTACGTATGCAGTTTTAAAGAGTGGCCCCCGGGCTGGGCGTGTCCTGACCCGTCCAGCCACAGTGGCCTCTGCGGCCCCGCCCCACAGTTTACCTGAGGGTCTTCCTCTGCATGTCCTCGTCTGTGATGCCGTGATAGACGAGCGTCTCGTTCCAGATGGGGTTCCGGGTGTTCCGCAGGGTTTTTGTCCGAAGCTTGTTGGACTAGAGCCCAGAGAGACAGGCAGAGAGACAGCTGCCTCAGTGGGGAGCCAGCCCTGAGGCCCCAGCCCTTGGGCTGATTTGGGGTAGGGGTGACTTAGGAGACACCCCCTCCCCCCGGCCCGGAGTGTCCAGGGACTCAGTTGCTCTCAAATGCATATCTCGGAGAGTAACAGGGGTGCTGTCCTCTAGGGTGATGGCTACAGCCACCACCATCGCTGGACAGTGCACCACCCCTCCCTCTGTGCACTGGGCTCTCTCCTTGAACTTTCCATTAAGATTAGAAAGTAGAGACATCTTCCTTTGAGGAAAAAAAAAATCATTTACAGGTCAGAGAGGCAGAAATGAGAGTCACCCTCTCCCGGGCAGTGAAGAAACACTTTGTGGGGATGTTGGGACAGTTCCTTCTGTTTTCCCAAATAGCATCCTCCAAGCTTGAAATTTCCTAGAGGGGACAAGGTTTTTCATTTTACTCTAAGAGGTCACCAGAAGAGGTGGCTTGGTGACAGGTCTTATTCACACTAACATGTAAATGATTCACTGGATTCTTTGGCAAAGCAAGTTTGGATTTAGGAGGGAGCAAAGGAGAGAGTCTCAAGGAGAAGCGAACTTCACTGGGGAGTTAGGAGTGGCCAACCACTTTTCAGTTTGGCCATGGCCAGGCGAGGGACTGTTTCTCCTTAATCCAAACAAAGTGGGGATGGGGGGTGGTGTGGGGTGTGTGTGTGTGTGTGTGTGTGTGTGTGTGTGTGTCTCTCTCTCTCTCTCTCTGTCTCTCTCTCTCTCTGTCTCTCTCTCTCTCCCCTCGTTCGTCTCATGGGGCATTTGATACTTGCAGAGATTTTTAACAGGCATTTTCCCACGATCATGGAACCAAGTGTACTGTCACCCTTGTATTGAGGACATCCATGTCAAATTAACTAAACGAAGCAAAATATCAAACCCAAGAAGGCACACTTTCCAGCCGTGTGCCCTGAGAGGGTCAGTCTAAAGCGGGAGAACTAACCCCACTTTCCCTCCCCAGAGCAAAATAGCGATCAGCAGCTGAGCGGGAAGGGGAGAGGCGTGGTGGGTGGGGGTACCTTTTCTCTCAGTAAGAGAACATTATCTCAAGTGCTTAGCCCTGAAATCTGGAGAGTTATTCGTTTCTACTGTGAGAGGAGGAGTGTTGGCTGAGGCTTAAAATGGGAGGGGGTGGGGGACCGCGGCCAGCACCGCGGAGCCGCTGGAGGTGCTTGAGCAGGTGAAGGGCATTTTTGGGGCATCTGCTTCTTTCCTGGCCTTTGGCAGCTCCTGATCCTAGGATTCTGGGTTGGAGAAAGGGGCGGAGCCCTGCTCCTTGAGGGACAATGACCTCTGGGCACCCCTCACCCCTCATGAGGCCTTTGCCGCTCAGGGAGGAGAGGGGCTGGGGGCCGACAGGGCTACTTAGGCCCTGAACTGGGGAACCCTGGGTACCCGCCAGGGCCTATGTGCCTGGCTGGCAGAGAGGGCCAGGCCATATGGTACCTTGCTGGCTCCCGGCAGGAGATGCAGCTTAACGTAGGGATCGGCCAAGCCGTTGGAGTCCATGGGCTTCAGGCCCTGTAAGAAAAAAGGAAACGGTGTGGGCGCCGTGGGGGGCCGGGCGCTCAGCTGTCACGGGCATCGGGCACGGCCTCTGGCACCTGTCCCCACCGTCAGTTTACCCGGCGCACTTCCTCTTCCAAAGAGAGAGACGGGAAATGGAGCATCATGGAAAGAGCTGTGGAACCAGGCGGGCGGACGGGGTTTAAAACCTGGTCCCGCCATGGCCTGGCTGTGCGGCCCTAGGCAGGTCTCTTAACCCCTCTGAGCCTCGTTTCCCTCGCCCGTCAGACGGGACGAGAACAGCGCCTGCTTCGGGAAGTGGTGAGACTTACACACGATTTCACCTGTAAAGTGCCTGGCCCATAGTAAGTGCTCTTCCAGGCTGGATCGTCACCCTCCGGGTGGGAGAAGCCATCCCAGAACAGGAAGGGTGGGGAAGAGGAGACGCTGCAGGAAGGCGGCCTGATCCTGACCCCGGCCCCTGCACCCGCTTCTGAACCTCGGCTTTTCCATCCATGTGACCGTCCCCGCCTGGGCCCCCTCACAGGACCGGGACGAGGCTCGAACGAGATGCGGCGGGGCAGGGAGTTTGTCTGGGGTAGGAATTAAGTTGGGCTTCTTAAGATGACCGTCTCTAAAACTCCAGGGGCTCGGTCACACTCTGTCCTTCCCCCCGACGTCCAGGCTGGCACAGGTGTCCCACCTCTGGGCTCCCACTGTCCCCTCTCATAGCACGAATCCCAAATCCCATGGACTGTGTCCCATGATCTCCCTGGACCTCGCTTTCCTCATCTGTTCAGTGGGGCTAATCGCAGCCCCTGCTCCACAGGGTCCTTGGAGAATTAAATGCAGTCTCGCCTGTGAAGGCCGAGCTCTGGGCCTGGCACAGGCACGTGTGAAACAATTTTCACTACTACTAGCTGGGGAGAGGATGCCACGAAATGGGGTGCAGAGGGGAAAGCTGGCAGGGTTGCCCGGTGAGTGAGAGCACAGGCTTTTGCGCTGGACCATACTGGTTCCAATCCCAGCTCCGCCGCTTCCTGGCTGTGTGATCTGGGCAAGTCACTTAATCGCTCTGTGCCTCAGTTTCCCCATCTGTAAAATGGGAATCATGACAGAACCTTCCTCATAGGCTGTTGTGAAGATTAAATGGTACGAAATAATCCCTGGAAAGCTCTCGAGGGCGTATGATACTCCTGCCTCAAGGGGGCTGTCATGGTGTGGCTTTCCCCCCGTCTCCGGAGCTGGAAGAGAAGCCTGAGTGAGTGAATGGTTAAGGACCTGAGCTACAGACTGTTACATCTGGACTCATCCAGCTCTGTCCCTTTCCAGCTGTGTGACCTCAGGCTTTAACTTTCTGAGCCCCGGTTTCCCCACCTGTACGATGGGGCTAATGATGACTCCTACCTCAGAGGTTCGTACGAAGATGAAACAAGATAACGCGTGCCTTGACCTCACTGCGTTATTTGGAAGAGGGGGCTGAACACGTCTAAGTGCCTGCCACAGTGACTGACGCGTAACGGGTGCTCGATAAATGCTCGCTGAAGAAGAGACCTGGGTGTACTGATCTAAGTACTGTGGTAGGCATTTCAAACCTCATTTATCATGCAAACTGGGACACTTCATGAGTGAGGAGCAAGTTCTTCATTACTACAGCAAGGCAACAGGCATAGCTGGGGACCGTCCTGGGCAAACGGGAACATGCAGCCACCTTACACTTAAGACTCAGAGTCGTCCCTACGGGAGAGGCTCTGTTATTAGCCCCAGTTTACAAATGGGCACACTGAGGCCCAGAGAGGTTAAGTAACCTCCCCCAAATCACACAGCTAGGAAGCTGCGGAGTTGGTATCTGAAGCCAGGAAGTCTGGTTCCTGAGCCTTGCTTGTTCTAGATGCACCAGACCTGGGGTGGGAGAAAAATCTTAGTAAGTTACTTTCTGGGATTTGCACTGATGTCACCCAGCTTTCCTTGGGGTCTGGGATGAAGTCGGTTCACTACCCCGGAGCCTGCAGCGTGGGGATGCTCTTCCGTCCTGGTTTGCCTTTCCCACCCCCTCCAGAGCCTGCGTTAGTGCCCTCGTGTGTGCGACCGTGGGCCAACCTAGGCTGCTGCTCCAGCTTGACAGCCACGTCAGCCAAAGGAGCCGTTCCGTGGCCATGTCAGCTGTCACATCGGGCTGTCCCTGCCCCCCGCGTGGCCCTTCCACGATCCCTTCCAGAAAGGCTGTGGCTGAGCCAGCGGATCTCAGCTCTACCCTTGAAGCCAGCTCCTGGGAAGTGGCTGCAGTTAAGTGAAACCCCTCTGGGGCCCCCAGAGGAGGTTCTCCCCTAAAGATCCTGGCTTTGGCTAATCCCTGCCTTTTTCTCATCACCGTCAGTGTCACGGATAGACAAGGCAATGACGGGAGACAGGTCCGGTAACCCATGCCTTCCCCGAGTCCCACGGAAATGCCCGAACAGCCTGAGTGGTCCCCAGCTTGGCCCCCTCACCCACCTTGGCTTTTATGATGGTGCAGTGCAGGGAGCTGTTATCCTGGTCGTAGAGAAGGCTGAACTCCAGGGCACCCAGGGTGGCTGGAGTGGAAAGAGGCAGGAACCAAGAGAACAGTCATTCAGTCATTCGACAAACATTTCCCGAGCACTGACTGTGTGCCCCATCTGGGGGACAGGAAGACTCAGTTCCTGCTCTGGACACCCCATCCTGCTAGACCCTCAGCACAGCTGTGACCAGTTAATACATCGTGCAACGCCTAATTAATGACTTCCCATCCCGCCGGTCTGAGAACCCCAGGAGGGCGAGGACTGTGCCCCGTCTTGTTCACCGCTGTGTCTCCACTGGACACGGTGCAGGGCACACAGTCGGTGCTCACTCACTCGCTGAAGGAGTGAATGAGCCTTAGCATTTGCTGTTGCCTCTGCCTGGAATGCTCTCCCTCTAGATCCTCACGTGGCTGGGGCCTCCTCGTTATTCACATCTCGGCTTGAATGTCACCTCCTTACAGAAGCCCTCTTTGATCACTCCATCGAACGCAGCCACCCTCCGCCATTCACCCTTTTTACTTCCTTCATGGTCCTCTCTCTCTGTTTGAAGTGGACTCACTGGTATATTTCTCGCCACTAGGACATTGGTTCCATCAGATCGGCCTTCCTGTCTGTCTTTAAATTTTGTCATGGGTAGCCCTAGTACCTAGCACAGCCAGGGGCAGCTAGTAGGTGCTCAATAAATACTTGTCAAATATAGAGAGGAGTGGGTGAGGTGTGTAGAGTTAATAGAGAGACGGGCTTGTTACAAGCCACTGGGGATAGCTCATAACAGAGAAGCACGCGGGAGGGGAAGGATCATCTATGCTTGGCAGTCCAGTGAAGGGACACACAAGGCAGATAGAAAAGCAGTGGCTGCTGTTCCAGGTGAGGACCAGGACACAGAAAGGCAGACAGGTGGGACAGACGAGGCGTGTTTCCAGAGCAGAAACGGCTCGTGGCTGGCAAAGTGGGGGTGGACCACCTGCCTCCTGTCCCCTGAGACTGCAGACCTATGACCCATGGGAGAGCTTGGGGACAGCGGGAACAGCTGATACTTCACCCAGGTCTGGCCTCTGATCTGCTGCGGCAGTGCACTGACTGCAAACCCCGCCCCCTGGCTGCTGGCGTGACCTCGGACAAGGTCTCCACCTCTCGGAGCCTCCGTCTCCCTGTCTGTGAACAGAAGCCGTGGCAGCAGCTCTTCCCAGGCTCCCGGGAAAGATCACACGAGCGCATGCACGTAACGCACTCAGAAAAGCGCCTGGCACGAAAGAAATGCTCGCCAAATGTTGTGCGTCTATTACCTCTGATGTGCGTGTCATGTGACAGGAACTCCTCATGTGTGTTTAGCACGTTATGTGATAACGACTTCCAGTTTTACAAAGCACTTTCCTAGAAGATGCCTCAGTTTACTCCGCTCAGCCCCACATGGGAGGCTGTATTCACTTCCCATTTTACAACGAGAAGTGACACGATGGGCCAGAGCCGTGCCACTGATTATGGTCCTTGGTCCACTTCATTGGAGCGGGTCCAGTCTCTCCACATGACGGGGATGTCCCCCGAGTCCTGCACCGTGATTCATGTCCAGACACCTGTCCATCCATGCCCTCCTCCAGCTCACAAAAGCCACCCCAGCTCTCCCCTGATACTCTGGCCACACTCAGAAGGAGCGCCATTGGAAGGAGGGAGGGAGGGAGGGAGGGAGCGGGGCGGAGTGGGAGAGAGGGAGAGGGAGAGGGAGAGGGAGAGGGAG